TGTGTGTGTGTGTGTGTGTGTGTGTGTGTGTGTGTGTGTGTGTGTGTATGTATGTATGTAGGTCTCTCGTTTATCGCAAGGGTTTGGGACCACGCCTTTCCCGCAATAAGTGGAAAAACTGCAACGTAGGGATGCAGTAGTTCAAGTAAACTTTGTCATTACCATCTCATGTGGTACATGATGAAACATAATTATGTACAGTAGTGGTAGTAGTAATTAGTTAATTTTAGTATTTATATGCAGGTATATGTGAGAGTGGTGGAGCAGAGGTTAGAGAAAGTGGGCCTGTGATCGGAAGATCACTGGTTCAACTCCCGGTACGGACAACATCAAAATGTGGGTGGGATAGGTGAAACACCCACACCTGCCTCCACCCTCATTTGCCCCACTCTGGGCCCTTGCGCAAGGCCCTTAACCCCCACCATTTTCTCCCCTGTGTGCCCTAGATAGCAGCTCTCTGCCCCACACAGAGGGCTGTGGTAGCTCGGTGGTCTGTCGTTGCATAAGAAGGGCATCCGGCATAAAAATAATTGCCAAGTCTTTGTGCGACTTAGTTTGCTGTGGTGACCCCTGATGAAGAGTGCAGCCGAAAGAAGAAGAAAAAAAAATACATAAACATGTATATGTACAGGTTTATATTAAGGCATTTTAAACCCTTCCTTGCAATGTCCCTAACAATTTTCTAAACTCTAAGCACTCTAAAAGAGCACAGCATGTCATGATCTTTGCTCTCTGCCTCCGGCTGCTCTCTGCCATCGGCCAGCGCTCTCAGCCACGCCCACTTTTCCGGTGCATAGCGGTGATCATGACACGCTGCAGGAGGAAGCTTCTCCTGCAGCTGTGGGTTGCACACAAGTGCAGGGGGTCTTAAATAATTGATTTTTAATGAAAATTACATGCCGATCATGCAGCTCATCCATCAAGCAGCCAATTGTGTCATATCCAATCTTATTTTGAAAAACAAGGGAACAAAAAAAAGGGGAGGGAGGGAGAGAGATATTTTTTTGAATTATAATTTTTAAAACCTTTTTGCATCTTGCCACTTACAGTTACAAAGTGCAGATGTGGCCGTGGCATTTGATTTTAATATGTTCTTTTTTTAAATACCCATTTAGCTTTAATATTGATGGTTCATTTGTAATGATAGCAATATCTGTAAACACTTCTATTTTCCTCAGCAAAATAAAAATGTGCAACTGTATTGCTAAGAACTTAAGATAATCTTCAAGACAAGCTCTTGAGTTAAAAAATATACCTTTTCTCATCAGAGTAAAAATGTTTTGATATTTCTTCAAACTATGAATGCAAAATAAATTTCAACAGCTAAAAAGCTGCCTCGCTCCTAGCTCATCAGTATTTTGTGTTGTCCTAATCTTTAACCAACTCTTTTTGAAACCTCATCAAACAGTGAGTGAGAGCAGAGTCAAACTATTTGCTCACATGGCGTTTTAATGTCAGCATGTAAGGTCTTGTTTCAATCTGGCTTCGACAGTCTTTCACTAAATTTATAAAGGTACACATCTGCATGGGAGGTCCACAGCATTACGTGTCCTTTCAAACCATCTAGCCTTGAGTATGAGTGAGTTAAAGAGCCCTCAAACACTTAGTCTGGATCGATGCAAGCTTAGAAACCACTCCTACACTTGCAGCACCTGTTCTGTGTCTGGACTGAAGAAAACTC